CCCTCCTCTTCACCTTCCTACTTCTATCCCAGTGGGACTTAATCATCCCGAGGTACAACTGAATGGACGCCACCCATCCAGTAACACTTTGCTCAAATATGCATATGTAATTCTGGCAAACAAAGGTCAAACAGGCAATTTTACCAGGCAGGCATGGAGGCGGTTGAAATGCAGTGGCAATGTCCCTGCCTCTGGACCAGAAGGTTCAGGTGAAAGTCCTACCTGCACCAGAAATACTCATAACATATCCGGATTCAAAGTATTTCCTAGGAGGGCATGACAGAGCTAAGCCAACTCACACTCGTGGGCAGTGCATAGTCACTTGAATCCCTTCAGTTTCGTTTTCCCCTTCTATGACTTTGGGACAATGAAGTGATCTGCGACGCCCACTACTGCCTGCCTTGACACAGTGCTTTAAGCAGCTGACATGGGCACCATTACCCCCAAGGCAGTAAGGGCAGGCATGCTTCAGCTCCATCAAGTCTTTCCTCAGAACTTCCCTGAACTCAACACCTTGGTTGTGACAACAACGAGTACAGCCAAGGGACACTTGGCCTCATGGCCAAGACTACTGACATCTTGGGTGACACACAAACCCTAAGTCAATTGCTGGCACCATGATCACCTAAAATGCCAGTAAATCCAAAGCAAAATTGATCCAGAAACAGATACTATTTTGCACCACAAAATACAAAATGATTTTCTCTCCTCAACAGGGAAGCTAAATATGTTATACTCTAAACGTATATAATACATCTATTTATCAAAGGAAAGACATTATAAATATATGTATTAATGTTTATATATATTTAAAATAAGCAGAAAGCAGGTATAAAAAGTTAGTTGGAAATAAAATATGTAAATAAATAAAATCTTTTAGCTCTTAGTGTATTTAATAATGAGATTTTTTACTGTTTGTGGACAGTGAACAGATGCTGCATCCTGGGTTTTGCCAATGAGTCCCTCAGGCAGGAGGATTTCAGAATTACAAGACTTGAGGAATCAGAATTGCTGTGTCAGTCAGTATTCACTGGATGGTATTAATACACTAAGAACAGGTACAGACTGACAGTGAGCAGTCCAACAGTGAGAAAAGTGATCAGTGGATAAGAGGGTCACAATTCAGAGATGAACCAACCAGTGTTTCTTTAGCCCTCCTTCGGCTTCAACAGTTGTTCATTCCAATTTTTAATAATTAGTTTTGCTCCAAACTTATTCTGGACAGAGAAAAGTTGTTCATGTCAAAGAAACTTTATTTTGGGGAAGGAATGGCGGGTGTCAAATGAGGGGAAGGGAGGTGTAATGGATTCTCCTAAGGTAGCCAGTTTTATATCTTGCTAGCCCTGAGTTTAATCACTAGACATAAGACAGTGGACCAAAAACGACAAATTTTCAATAACCGACATACATATTTTAAGATGTGCAGGTACAGCAACATTGTCTAGCAGTCCAAATTTCTCTCCTTAATTCTTCAACAGCCCAATCTCTTTCAGTAAAGTGTTCATGTCTCAGCCACTATGTAACAAAGGTGATCAGAAAGAGTGCAAATGATCCATTCCTGCTCCTAATTGATATGTCTGCATGATCAACACTGTGGATGTTGTAGGTAATTCAATATGCCAACTATGCCTCTTTTTCTTGATTTTTGTAAGTGGTTGACCTTCCTGCATTACCATCCGACATAAAAGGTACGTTTTCTTCTTTCTGCCTGCCTAACAATTACTGCATTTCAAGTAATACAAAGTGCATTGAGATTTTTCAGAGAAATAAGCTACTGGATAACTGTGATTTTCTTGTGTGTATATGATAATATATTTGTTCCTGTTTCATTGCTCACCTGAATGTGCTATATGTCAAACTCTGTGATGAGAGGAAGGCAAACACTGATGAGCCAGCTCTTCGTTAATATTCCATTTATTACCCTAGCCAATTGGGAAAACTGGCAATAGGGCCAAGGTCACAAGTACAGGCTGCTGCCAAAGTTGAAGAGAGTCGGGGCGCAGGGAACTAAATAGATGACAGGTCAAAACCTGAGGGGTGCAGGATTAAATGCAATAATAGCACAGCTGATGAGGTGTAAGGACAAGCTCCTTCCCATTCCGTCCTATGGAAACAAAATCAGCGCTAACAAATCCAGCTTCAGGTCAGATTACAGCCCTACTTAATGTGGTCTGAGTTTTCAAAGGGACGGAGTTAAAAAGAAACCAGAAAAATTGGACTTGGTGTTTTCTTTTCTTTCTCCAGTGTTGCCACAAGTTTTATGGAGCTATTGCTACTTCTTATCAGTCCAATTGGAGAATAATGCCCAGTCACACCATTTTAGCAACAGCTCCAGTGAAGTGAAAATGGCAGGACCGAACGAACCAGCGATTTGCTTTGCAGGCACGTAAACTCAATATCTTAGACATTATACCATGACAGGCATTCATAATTCACATTGTCTAAATCTCAGATGCATACATTTGTACAGAATACATATTGAAATTGATGCACCTCCAAAATCAAGTAATTTGTATGAAGTATTCTGAATCCTTCAGTATGACAGGAGTTAAAATGTTACTCAAAGTCATTATACTATCTGTTTTGAAACTTGAATGGATTGGCATTTTCAAATACATTAACAACTAAAATAAAGTGTGCAAAATTGGTTTGGATATTGCCTTGCAAGTCCAAATCATTAAACCTTATTTTTTGAACAAGACAATCTCAGTAAGACAGGATGCAATCTCAACATAAAATTCTTATCATTTCAATCATGCCAAGATGCATGCAAATAGAATGGGACCATTTTATACTTTTTGCTCATCAATGTCATCAAATGCTGATGTGGTTCTATTTAGTGTGAGTTGAATTCTATCTGCGGCCTGGCCGATTGGCAGTAAAGTAGAGATGAACAGAAAGAAAATAGATCATGCGTTGTACCTTCTCCGTCAACTCATTTAAAAAAAACATACAAAACATATGTTTCTTTCCCTCTGAATGACTCTTGCACACCAACCTTTACAGTTGAAGTCTGGAGATCAGGTCATTTTCTTGCATAAAACACGATCCCGGTTATCATATTAACCTGGCTAGCAATATTGTACATTTCAAATATTTACAACCTGTGCAAATCAGTGTTTGACTGAGGGGATGGTAGGGGGAGACGAGCCAGAATTTTCTCTTTAAAAATGAAGGTGGCATTTTAGCTGTGCCCGCATTGTACTGCCAGGCAGGACTTGGCACTGTCTCATTTCAACAGGACGATTGTGTTCGAGCCCGGGCATAGCTACCCCATTTCCGTTGCTGGATTGAGTTAACAGGGGGCTGGTCTTTAGTGGGAGAATCAAGGATTACTTACCAGGGCTTCCCAAATAAAACCAAACTTCTCTTTTCAATTCTCAATGCATATCAACAACTTCCAACACTGCCCAACAAAACCCTCCCATCTGTAACATGTAGCTAACTTCTCAGATCCAAAAGAATACTTGCACCAATTTAAGACAACATACAATCAGTGATGTGTTCAAATACATAAAGTTCAGAACTTCACAAATTTTAAGACAGCTCTCCAATGCACTTAACTCAAAGAGGTGTCACAATGTGTAACTAAATACAATGAGATTATATTTGACGTTTCTTTAAATGGATTTACAGGATTTTGCCAGTTGTTAGGACAGCTAAATTATTCTTGCCATTTTCACATGCAAATGACTGCGTAAATATACGGTGCTACTTTTAAATTCCCAGCACCAATTATAAGTTGCGGCACATGCTCAGTACAGTAAATTTGTACATGTACTCTCATAATGAAGTGACATGAGACACAACAGTAAGAATTCATCTCGTGTTAGAGATGAAGTACAGCGCAAAATTGGACAAGGTACATCTCATTGTTATGGGATGCAAACCAAATGTTTACTCTTATTCTACTGCCATGGCACTCTTTATATCTCCCAGCAGCCTACGGTCACGGTAACACCACACTCGCATCTGCATTCTGTTTGGGAGTGTGAGGTTTAATTTTAAATTCCAAATCCTGATATCAGCTTGACTGTCTCCCTGATAGAATTCAGCCAGAGAGCTTGGCTCCTCAGCTCAACCGAAGATGTTGGAAGCCGTCGTTAACTTGATTTAAGCGGCCTACATTTTGGAAACGTCAGCTCAGCCCAGTCAGTCACATTCACAGCTCTGGTTGCAGAAACTGAGGGCAGTCAGAGAGTGACAGACAAGTGCATTGTTGGGCAAACTTCGGAGGAAGACAGGGGATGGAGAGGAGGTATGGGTGCTAAGAAGTAAAACCCAAGTCCTGTGTGGGAATTCAGATTGGATTAAAGATACAAGGAAAAGATAGTACAGTTGGCACTTCACAATCGAGATACAAAATAAACTAGCGAGCCTTCAACTACTCAAATTTAATTTAATTATATGGATTGTTTTTGAGTCCCTCCGCCCTTTCATAGCTTTTATTGCAATATTTTAATTATTTTTTCTTAAATGGATTAAATCATATTCCTGCCAACTGTATTCACTTTAAAGATTCATATCTCTACAGATTGGAAACAATTTGAATTTAATTTGTTAACTTTTTTCCATTTGCAATTGTCCTTATGCCGAAAGATAGTTGACAGAAACAAATTTGTTTTATGATTAAATTTTTGTCAAGACAGTAAGTTATGTCTGAATGCATCAAATAAAAGCAAATATAGGAATGTATTTCTTTTTAATCTATCAAAGGATCTACACAATGGGTTAAATATAATGCTCAATGTCCAAAACAAATGGCAACAGTTCAATATTTTTCTCTTGGTTTTAGCACTTAAAATTAAGCATTTATTTTAAAAAGATTTGGGACTTTATATGTGTCCATCTCACCTTAGGTTAAACAAACGTTGTCTCTCTTCACAGAGAAATTTAAAGTGCAAGCTGTTCAAAAACAGAGCTACAAACCGACCGCACGCAACCAAGGGCCCGTCAGACAGAGCAAGGGATGTAAACAATTAAGCAAATGTGCAACTTACCTGGGTTGTGTACAAAATAGGCCAAATATAAGTCAAGTTCCTTTACAGAAACTCCAATGTGGTGTGGCTGGACGCACAGGCCTTGGTTACTGCACTGAGGTGATTTGACCAGGCGTTCACCATCAGTACTTTCTAAGGGAGTCCCTTTGAACAATATGACCATTACCAGGTCTAACCTCCAGACCTTGTCTGCCTGCCTCAAGCAGTCGATCCGCCGAATCTTGCCTTTCTGGTCAGGGTTAGAAAGGACACAGCAAGGAGCCTTCTTGCCCGTGATGGTCAGCACGAAATCCTCCCGGAATTCAGGCCGGATATCTTTACGCAGTTTTGCCAAGAGCCGAGACGCCCACTTCTGTTTGATTTCAGGCTTCTCTCCAAGGAGTTCATCCTTGACCACCCTCTCTTCGTCCTTGGACATGCGTTTCTCATGCTTTTTAAAGTATTTGCGCTTGCGAGCCTGCAGGTTGAACCATGTGTAGGAGAAAGCACGGACATGAGGGAGAAGTGCTTCGATAAAGGGATGAAATTCATCCTGTTGGCGGGAGAGGGGAAGAGGTGGTTGAGGGAAGAGAAGGAGACAAAGGAGAGATGGGAATCAATACAATTACAAAACAATTGAAAAATTTAGTTAAACAATAAATTATATATATTTTAAAATTCACGGTAGCATTGCAAAACGCACACACACGCAGACACACACATAGCCATAAAATGCAGTTCCATTGCATCTGTGTAGGCATTTTTTAAATAGTTACCATTTCAAACTCTCATTACACTGAGGACAGCTCTGCGTTCAATGACTGTACCCAATACAGCGTGAGTGGGTACTCTGCCTCGCACTAACACACGCGCACAAAATGTGACACTTCCAGCAAACGGCTTTATATATTTTTAAAAAAGGACTTAATCATGCACAAAAAGCCTTGGCCAAAATAAAAAAAGAAAGTTCGTCTGATAGGAGGGCTCCTCTGGCCTATTTGGAACAGGCAATGGAGGGAAGGACTGCCGTGTTGGAGCGAGTATGAGACCACTGGCAAAGAAGACTGCAGCTTTCTCTCTCTCTCTCTCTTCTCTTTCTCACTCTCGCTCGCTCGCTTTCTCTTTCCCCACACAATCCCCAACCATTTGCTTGAGCTTTTGCCAGCTTAAGGCCCACCTATTTGGCAAAGTCACGCCTACCAGGCAGCCAATCGACGCTCCTAAAGAGGGACTGTGCAGTCGGAGATAGATTGCAATTTGCCAAATCGGCTGCTTCATATGCAATGAATAAGCAAAGTCCAGCATTTATGAATTTTTCATTTTTTCTCTCTCTGTGTCTGTAGCATGGCAGGTTGGGGGCATCACACACCATTAAAAACACACACAGTCCCACTAGACCCTAACCAGCTGCTCCTCTTGATATGAACCACCAGATTAATGAACAATTTAATTTCATTCTTTTTCTAAAACAACAAAATTCCCTTTTTCTAAGCCAAGCTACTTATTTCTAAATAAACATAGTGTGGATGGGGGTGAAGCAAATGAACACAAAACAATAAAAATTCAATTGGTCACTAACAGTCCTTCGCACACAGACTTGACTTTACAACATTCATGAATTAGCTGCCACTTGCTGCTGGAACTGCTCCCGTGATCTTTAAACACTTTCCCGTCACTCTATCGCTGCTGTTCATAAAAATAAAGTTTGTCTAAAATAACCGAACAAAATTAAATGAGGGGATTTGAAGGTTTTCATAATCTAAAAACGTCTGAAAATCTCGCTCACTACCTCTCTGAAAAGCTGCCACTCGCTCAGAAAATTCCGAACTATCACTTAACTTTTGTTCCTACTTCTTTTTAAAGCCGGGCTCCACAATCCTGGGGCCTGATGCCAGCCTCACTGTCCTGGCTAGAAGTAGGTCAGCACCACTTACATTTTCACTTTAGCAGCCCATCACTGCAATGTTAAGAGAAATGTTAGTCCCACCAACTAACTTAATTATTGCGAACTTCAAAACCCTGATTGACAAATGGTCTTCTACATTCAAAACATTAAATCATATTTTCTCCTCCAGATACCTGTTTCGTATTTCCGATGTTAACACTTTTATTTTTTTCTGTCTCTCTCATTCTTTCTCTGAGTAAATGTATGAAAGTTTAGCTCCGCTACAACTCACTCCAAGAGCTGTTGGAGTTGTAGAAGGGTGAAAGGAAAACGACCAATGCTTTAATTCAGGAAAAATTCTATTGCTTGGGCCAATACCCTCAAAGCTTTAACTGGTGAATTATATTCTTCCCCACCATGACGCGATTTTTGTTTTGAGCGTCAGGGGAAGCAAATCCAGGAAAATAATATTTCCAAAGTGTAGACACATTTTAGCTTTGTGTGTTTGCATGTGTACTTTTACTTTAAACTGAGTTTGATTTCGGGGACACCGCACCTCACAAAGGTCCATGCCAATTTTGAAAACCGCCTTGTCCCACCGTACAATGAAAGATCAGTTGCAGCTCCAAAACCTGACCCCCTTTCTTCTGTTTTTCTGTTCTGCCCCATCACTTATGTGTGTCTCTACATCGTTGTGAATTTTGATAACAAATCATCAGCCTTACATGTGTTAACTGGTTCAGATGATTCTGAAATTAAACCTACACATGAGCAGAGTGTGTGTGTGTGTGTAGGGGAGGGTGACAGACACTGTGCTAAATTTATTGGACTTAATCGCAGTGTGGCCTTGACTGTATTTATTTTGGCACAAGGCATCATTTACATATAAAATAATTGTTTGGTGTTCTGCAACCGAGGTATGCACAACACAAAGAAAAACCAGTATACCTGGGCCCTCGCATTTGTCCTCACTACATATTCCGATTCCACCAAACCAATTCCTCACTCAACATTAACTCCAACCACTTTTCAAAGCACCTATACGAATCAGCTCAAGTGGGCCCTATGCCCCCCATCACCCCATCACGTTCCCTTACTCACCTCGTCCTCCCACTCTTATACTCCCATAAACAATTGTGTTTTCCAGCACAACATTCTTGACACAACATGAACATTTTAGGGACACAAGCAACACAGAGCTGAATTTGCTCCTAGTGTTACAATACAGACACACAAATTATTTTAACCAGTTCATTTAACACTCATGCACCAGCACCCCACCCACCTCCACTCCCCAACCATACTGACCCATCGCAATATTCCTGATTTATTTAACCATTTTTTTATTCATCCAACAAATTGCAAATTCAGAATGTTCCATTTTAATTCAACAAAACAATTTTTGTTGTAGCTTTTTTAAACATGGTGTGACATAAACTTCAAAATGTTACAGGTATACCCTGTATGATCTGATAACAAAGGATTGTGGGTGTACCTAAAAACAAATTTATTAATAAAAGTATCCCTTTTTTTAAATAATGTCTGCCTCTCTTAAAAGCTTATAGAGTGTTATTTTTTCAAATAGATTTTATTCTACAGAAGTAACATTAATATAATTTTGAAATATCTTGAACACACCATATCATAATTTAAATATAAAACATACAAATAAAAATTGTGCAGATCTCTTATTGTATGTACAATTTAAAACATGTATACACACACTGTTATATATAGTGTATGGATATGTTTTAAATGCATATAAATATGAATGTAGATTTTATATATCATGCAAGGCATTTGACTAATTATATTCTTGAAGTGAAAATATTATTCCTCACACTTGCCACTGTTTGCACCAATTTCATATATATATACACTCTGCAGTCTAAAATTCTGCTTAATCTTTGCATTTATTGCAACAGGCCAGTGGCAACAAGAAAAATAATCAGAAATTAAATATTTTAAAGGATTAGTTCAAATAATTGTATTTAAAAATGTAAATTGCCCAGACATTTAATTCAAAGATTGGAGTCTTTAGGTGCATAACTGAATTGTATTTTTACATACACTTGTTTGATATTTGTATTGGGATAATAATGGGGGATGGGGGATGGACAGATTCAAATTATACAAATCAGGGGTTAATGGAAAAACCCAATTTAACTAAAATACATCAAACAACTGCGGATATTGGAAATCTGAAGAAGGGTCACTGGACTCAAAAATTAACTCTACTTTCTGCCAGCCTCGCTGAGTTTCTCCAGCAATTTCTGTTTCTGTCTGTAACTCAAATTAACACATTTTTGCGCACACACGCCCAGCTATTTTATCCAAGATAATTCCCAAGCTAAGTCCACTAACGGTGACACTTCCCATTGACTGAACTGATCATTTCCACTGGACCCCAGCCCACCACCAACCCCTTATTCGTAAGTAGTGCCGAATTTAAACTGTAAAAGCGGACATACTCGACCGACTTGTCAAATGTGTTTTGAACGCAGCCTGTCAAGAGATATTGCTCCCGATAAACGAGGAAATTTCGCAGTATTTGTGCGAGACATAACTTCCTAATTAACTCCCGCCTATTACTTCCTTAAAATATGTAAAAATGTGAAAAGTTTAATGGATTCCTGCTAAATCACAACTACCTGAATATTTGTTTTTTTTTTAAATCTGGGCGTGAAATTGACCAGGCTGATGAAACTCTTTTTTTTCTCCCCTGAAGTTCGAGAGAATTATTTCGAGTTTTTTTTAGAAAGAGCTCCTTTGTGTGTGAGGAGCAGCTGTGCCTTCAGTGTATATAAGCCAAGTAAATAGTTTGTTTCCGTTTACAAAGCGTCCCCCCGAAAGCCAAGATCAAGAATTCATGAGACGGGCTTGACTGAGCTATCGGCGAGAGCGATGGACCGACTCTCTTCCACAACACCACTGGACCCCCGACCTCCCCAAAACAAAAAAATAAAAATAATAAAGCCGAGAGCCGGAAGTTCAAAAGCGAAACTCAGGTATAGTGGCAGAAAGGGGAGCCGAGAGTACTCCGATTTTCTGCTCGTCCTTCAATGCTTGAAAGCATTTTTGTGTTTCAAAGCACAACTGTTACATCAACTGATAGCCGGGATATAACTAAAATCATACACACACACAAAAAGCATAATATATAAATGTCCCTCAGGAAGTTAGGGCAAAGGCACTCTGCATCTAAGTCCGATTTCAATTTTTTTTTGTTAAACGTCCCTTCAGTGATGGTGTTAATTTTCTGAGGCGGGTTCAGACTTTGTTTAAATAAAAGTTATGTTTCTTCGTACAGAGTTAGAGCCTAAAGCGCAACAGGACTTGAAGAATTAAAAGAAGGAAGGCGTTTTCATTTCTGTAAAATAGAGAGATTCTGGCTTTGGACAGGCTCTGTTGTCCTTGCTTTTAACTTGCGTATGGCTAAGAATTTACTGGCCTGGATGAAGCAAATGTGTTGTTTCAAGTGTACCCTTTCCTCTCCCCCCCTACTTTTATCTCTCCGAAAACATTTGGGATTTCTATCCCGAGATATGCAACGTCCCTATTCCGTCGTCGACCCCCCCCCCCCTCCGAGTCCGTCTCTGCCCCCCACCACCCCTCCGAGTCCGTCTCTCCCTTTCTCTCTCCCGCTCTCTCCAATGGCTCCCTTCTGG